AATAAGACATCCTAGATCTGAATGAATGAAATATTCTTATTAAATACTTTGTTCATTACATAGTTGAATGTGCTGACAACAAAATCACACAAAAATTATCAATGGAAATCAAATTTAGCAACCCATGGAGCTCTGGATTTGGAGTTACACTCAAAATTAAAGTGGAAAAAAACACGACAGGCTGATCCAACTTTGATGTAATGTCCTTAAAACAAGTCAAAATGAGGCTCAGTAGTGGGTGTGGTCTCCATGTGTCTATATGACCTCCCTACAACACCTGGGCATGCTCCTGATGAGGTGGCGGATGGTCTCCTGATGGATCTCCTCCCACACCTGGACTAAAGCATCTCCCAACTCCTGGACAGTGTGTAGTGCAACGTGGCGTTGGTGGATGGAGTGAGGCATGATGTGCCAGATGTGCTCAATTGGATTCAGGTCTGGGGAACGGGCGGGCCAGTCCATAGCATCAATGCCTTCGTCTTGCAGGAACTGCTGACACACTCCAGCCACATGAGGTCTAGCATTGTTGTGTACTAGGAGGAATCCAGGGCCAACCGTACCAGCATATGGTCTCACAAGGGGTCTGAGGATCTCATCTCGGTACCTAATGACAGTCAGGCTACCTCTGGCGAGCACATGGAGGGCTGTGCGGCCTTCCTCCCCAGGACCTTCCTCTCTGGCAATGCCTTCCTCCCTGATAATGCCTCAGGTTTCATCAGACAACCGAGAGGAACAGCCTAAGATTAATCAGGAGGAAGGCATATCAGAGCAGCCCCTGACAGGGAGTAAAGAGGAAGAGTGTTGGCTTGATCCTAAGCAGCGTCGTAGGGGGAAACGTGAGCAGCAACGTAGGAGGCGTGGGAGGGTCAGAGAGTGAGCTGAGTCATTGAGCCACACCCCACAGGGGATAAAAGTGGGTGTGTTTTCGGCTGGAACTTTGTACGGGACAAAGTTTAATCTTACTTCAGATTTTCTTCGTGAATGATTTTTGTGGACTGCCTTGTAATATTCTGTGAGTAGATTTTTATTTGTTATCAGTTCGGACTTGGCAGGCAGAGCGTGTTGGAATGCCAAGGATATTATCAGTTCCAAAGAATTAACTCTGTGAAGTCCGAGCGAGCTTGCCTGCCTGTGTTTGTGTGAGTTTGTATTCTTTCATCTTTTGGGAAAGAAGAAAAGTGAGACAGAACATATATGTATATATATATTTATGTGTTTATATTGAATTATTATTATAGATGAAAATGAAAATGAACTGTTTGGTGAACGTAACTGGAGCATTCAGCATTGCAGGAATCCATTGGTATCCAGGAACAGAAGGCTATGTAGAACCCGATTGTCCTTGCCTTGCCATTTGTTTTGACAATGGAAGATGCCAAATAATGAGACATGAGAATGATCAAAGTAAGCATATCTTGTGGTAAGAGTTCTGAAGAAGTACCATACATTCAGTTGCCTAAAGAGGGCTGAGAAAATATCTAAAGACCCTTCCCATTCTCGACATAAACTGTTTTTAACTTCTCCCCTCGGGACGCTGCTATAAGCCATTGCATTCCAAAACAACTTGGCACAAAAATAATTTTCCCCCATGCCATCATTCTGCTAAACACCTAACTCCTAGAGCACTGTCTTATGCCTAAAGAAATGTACCCATGTAGTAAGGCTGCATTGCTATTATCCTGTATTGCTATTAAAAAGCCATGGTAGCACAGTGATTAGAATGCAGTATTGCAGACTAATTCTGCTGGCTGCTGGCTGCTAGCAGTTTGGCAATTCGATTCTCACCGGCACAAGGTTAAGTCAGCCTTCCTTCCGAGGTCAGTGAAATGAGGACTCAGATTGTTGGGGGTTGTAAAACCATTTAGGGTTGTAAAGCACTGTGAAGCAGTATATAAGTCTAAATGCTACTGCTATTGCTATCCTCATTTTCTCATCTTTCTCATTTTCTCATTTTTCCTACTATCTTTTCCTATTGGTATTTTATGATTTATCCCTTGCTTGTGTCTTATATTTTATGATTATGTCTTATAATTTATGATCTATGACTTATCATTTTGCTGTTTGTATATGCACTGAAAGATTGTGCCCTGGAGACAAATTCCTTGTATGTCCAATCACACTTGGTTATAAAGAATATTCCATTACATTTCCATATTCCATTCGGGGGTAAATATTGTAGTAAGAATGATCTTTCCATTAATATATCGTGTTTCTCCAAAAATAAGACCATGTCTTACAAATTTTTTGCCATCCAAAAAGGCACCAGGTCTTATTTTCTGGGGATGTCATCCACTGACTAATCTCACTTGGGCGCGTTGCCCCCAGCCTCCTTTTTGCTGTCAGAGGACTTCAGGAACTTCTGCGGCCAGCAAGGCTTTCCTGAAGCTGATAACAGATCTCCAGATCGATCTGGAGCTTTGTTATCAGCTACAGAGGCCTTCAGGAAAGCCTTGCCAGCCTTGCTGGCTGCGGAATAAATGGGCCGGCAAGGCGGGTGTTGGGGTGTGCGAGGCCTGGCTACAACTGTCCAAAGGTAAGTAGTAGGGCAGCTCCACCCCGCATCCCCACCCTAGCTTAATTTTTACCCGTGCACTCTGGAGTGGGTGGGATCTTAATTAGGACTTATTTGTGGGGTAGGACTTATATTGGGCTCACGTGTAAAAATCAAGCTAGGGCTTACTTTCAGGGTAGATTGTATTTTTGGGGAAGCAGGATATTTGTATATGCACTTTATATCAGTAATTGTTTATTTAAAACAACAACCAGATCCTGTCTTAATTGATGCGGCTCTGAGTGTTGTGAGCATCCAGTGGAACCACTGTGGCAACGTGCTGGCTCTTGCAGGCGTCCAGAAGATACCTGTGCAAGATAAAGATATAAATGTTGTGCAGTTCTATTCTCCATTTGGTGAGGTAAAAATTATGGATTTAATGGATTTTCCGATTTCTATATTTAGTGTAAAATAAAAACCAAATATTGATAGTGAAAAATCAAAATGTTCAAACTGAGAAGTGATGGGAACAGTAAAGGCAGAGAAACATTCCTGAAACTGAACTTGCCACACTACTAGTTTTCCTCTGTAACATAATGGGGGCTGGGGAATAACCAGTCCAAAAGTTTTGCAGACTGCCTTTTGTAACCTGTATACACATAAATATGGATGGGGAAAAATCCTTTTAATATGCAAGTGATAACTGATGTTCAACAAGTTTGGCAGAAAAACAAGCAGTATTGTAAGGTGGAGCTGGAGGCTATTCTGAATCTTTGTGCCAGTTTATATAACATACATATACTTATAGGTGGAATGAATGAAGGCACAGAAAGAATTTGATTTATAATTCAGCTATAGTGATTGTGAAGATAATTGTGAACAACTTGTATCTTCTAACATTAGCATTTCTAATGTTTTGTTTAAAATAGTTACTGTTGTTTTTACTATGGTGTGCTTATCTAATTCCAATGTATATGTGATTTGCTCAATCATTTTTACATGATTGAGGTGATATTTTTGTCATAGGTTTCTTTGCATCCTTTCAAACTTGTTAAGATCTGGGTTTTTTACAGCCAAAGGTTCTGTAATTAGTATTCAAAAAAGTAAGATCACATAGTCAACCTTCAAGTAATTTATTCACATAAATATGTAACATTATCAGAAGATATATTTTTAAAAAATTTTAAGGATCAAGAAAAATAGAATAAAAAAAAATTCTCAAGATTTTTCTTAGCTCATATAACCTCTTTCAGTAACATTCAAGAAATTATTCAATATGCTACTTATTTATTTCTATTTCAAAATACTTCTAATAGTATGCAGCTAATTTATGTTGATGTCATTTCAGCATTTGCGTACATTAAAGATTCCAGGGAAACAAGTATCAGCTTTATCTTGGGAAGGAGGCGGTTTAAAAATAGCATTAGCTGTTGATCAGTGTATTTATTTTGCAAATATTCGGCCAGACTATAAGGTAAGGAACATATTAAAATATTATCAGGTCCTGAACAGGTTTTATTTGAGCATCTGCTTACTAGTGTATTGCTTAATATGTTTTTGGATGGGTTTTTAGTATATATTATAATTCACTATTTATATTATGTTTATTGTTATAAACTCTATTCCAATTATTGGAATTGTGATCCAAAACATCAAGGGTTTTTTTTTTTTGGGGGGGGGGGTGTTTCCTTAAAGACCCTATGCCATTCTCATAAATAATAATTATCTGAAGATTCAACATTTTAAATGGGATTAATTATCTGTGTCAGACTGGCCACAGATTACTCCCTAGGAAAGAACGACCCTTGATTCCATAAGTGTTAGAGAAAAGGTACTTTTACTAGAGATGCTGAGTGCAGCATGAGCGAGGCAAGCACCGAAGAAGAACCGCACAAAAATCATATATTGAAAGCAATCCCCAATGTCTAAAACCCTCCCCCCTGGGAAAATAGTCCAAGTGCTGTTCTGATGTTTTGGGAACCTGGTGCCTCAGGCACTGCTGTAAATTCCTTTCCCATGGCTGGTGTCCTTAAAGGCAGGAAGATGGCTCAGTTTAGCACCTCTGGTTCCTGCCAGTGTGCACTCCCAAATTTCCCATAGCATTCTTCCAGCGCTCTTCCCCTCCCAAATGCCCCCTCCACCCGGGTTATAGAAGTTGCTAGTGAGCTTCAAAGAAAGCAAAGATAGGCAGCTGATATTCGATATGAGAAAGATATTAATCAATGTTGACTTTATAAATACATTTCTACATGCTGTAGTACAATGTTATTCAGAAATATTAGTATTATTGTTTTTATTAACAGTGGGGTTATTGCACTAACACAGTAGTATATGCATATACCCGACCTGACCGTCCAGAATATTGTGTTGTCTTCTGGGATATAAAAAACAATGAAAAGTATTTGAAATTTGTCAAGAGTTTAATCTCCATAACAACCTGTGGAGACTTCTGCATTCTGGCAACTAAAGCTGATGAAAATCAACTACAGGTATTATTGCTTATTTTATAAACTTACCTGTTAGTCAAATTGTTATTCTTTCTTTATCTATAATTGAGTACTTATTGTGAAATTCTAAATTGTTTCTAGTACTATGGAACATATGAATTGGAAAGGATATTATGGGTTATCTCTGCTCAGTATAGAAATCCCCTAAACCATCTGTTAAGTGCCCATCCTGGCCCAATTTCTCCAGCAAAGAGTGTACCACACTCCTAGGCAAACCGTTATAACAGCACTTATCCTTGTGAAATTCCTACTAGTGTTCAGCCTGTACTATCTTTGATTTCAACAAAGTACAACAAAGTATGTGACAGCATTTTAGAAATTTGTAAATTTTTACCAAATACAGCAGGATTTACTTCAGAAATCCAAATGATTCAGGCAAGAATGTTCTGCTGTACTTATCTGTAACTGCTTCTACTTTATCTTTTGGAAAAAAACAATTATTTCTGTTATTATTTATATCTCTTGTATAATGCTTACAAAGGAGGAGGATGAAACAGAATGCGCTGGTGGAATGGTAAAGCAATTGTTTTAAATGTTGCCTTAACTGATAGAGTGGTTGTTATATGATAATATATCTATCAAAATAACAGTTTCTTAGGATGCAATTAGTACAGATTATATCTCAGTTTGTTATAATTTATGGAATTGCTTTTTTTTTATTTACAGAAGTTGCTAGATAAGAAAAATGACTGTCTACTACATAGGATGAAATGGGTTGAAATGATGCCTAGTTCTCTTCATGTATATATTCACATAACTGTCTATAGTTCTCTATAAAAAATGACTTATTTTATGTTTGTTTTATTGTAATTCTTCAGAAGTGGTATTCTAGACTGGTTCATGATAGACATTCTAAATAAAATATAGTAAAATAAACAAAAAAAATACAAAGTAATATAAAAATCAGAAAGACATGGTTTTTAGACCATGAATTCTACTCTCACCTTAGCTGTGAAAGCCAGCTGGGTGACCGTGAGCCAATCACTCTCTTTCAGTGCAACCATGCTCACAGTATTGTTGTGGGGTAAATAGGAGGAAGACAGTGTGTTGGATAGGTTCTCTGCGTTGAGTTATTTATAAAAATAATAAAGGGGGGATACAAATAAATAAGAATGGAATCATTTTGCCTAGTGGCAAAAAGATACAGAATAGAAAATAGATGTGCTCAATTTGTTTATTACCCTCCTTATTTCTGGTAAACACAATAAAGGTTGAAGGAAAAGGTTGAAGTACCTCCACTTAAGATATTCATAACTATCTCACATGGCTCTTGGGATAAAAAGGGAGAGGTAACTGAGGAGAGGTTTATGTGAAGAGGAGAATGGGGAAAGATGAAGAAGAGTTGACATTGGTAAGACCTGAACAACATTACCAACAGCTGCTGCAAAACTTACAAGGACCTCAACAGGAAGCTGCTGGATCAAGAGCCACATTAAGTAGCAGCCATGCTTGAAGCTCACCTTGGGAGTTCATGCTGATGCTTAGAGCTTAGCTTGGAGGTCAGCAGTAATACTCTCTTGTAGCTGGAAAGAAAGAGACTGATAGCTCTCTTTACATAATACTGGTGCTTCTATTTATGAAAAGGAGTTGAAAAGCCTTTAACATAATACCAATAAAGTATAGGTATTGCTTTCTTTTTTTCTCCAATGGATTAAAATATGATTATAATTTTAAATAATAAATTGTTCGCTTTGTTCTTTATGTAATCCATGCAGAATCTTGGCGTGTGTTGAATTTCTCTTGTGATAATTGCATGTGTTTTTATTTTTGTCTAGTATGTACTTGTGCTTTGTAATTCCATTGGCACACCTTTGGATCCAAAATATATAGATATTGGTAAGCAAATATTTAAAGTATATCTGTATATGTTTGTATGAACATTATTCTCAGTCTGCTGTCCTCATTAACACTAGTTATTTGGTAGACATTTTGTTGCAAGTTACAAGTCGTTTTACTTAGGCTTTTCTGATTTCTCCATTGTTTTAAAATATATTTTCCTAGACCCAGTTTCAAAATGGAAACAGCATATGATATTCAGTATAGAATAAGCTAGATCAAATTATAACAATAAAGATGGACAATATTACATTTCTTTCTGTCAATGTAGGTCTGTGGCTGAGAGACAGCCTCTTATATAACTAATGTAATTTACATCACTAATCTTGTGAATTGCTGGATAAGATGAAATGACAAATTATTCTTCCAAACTGCAACTTTAACTCAGTCTTTAGACTACAAAATATTTACGTTTTTAAAAAGAATTTATGCTGCTTAATATGTTTAATTAAGTACAATTTTGCAAAAAGCTATTCAATGTTCACATCTGATACTAGATGAATTTGCATTAAAGTATTGATGGGCTTGTTCTAATTATTATTTATTTTAGTTATTATTATATATTTATGCTGCCCATCTCCTTTGTAGGGTGATTCTTTAACTTGTGTTTTTTGTTTGAATTTTATAATAGCCCCACAGTTTGTTACAATGACTAAAACCCAGGTCATAGCAGCTTCAAAAGAAGCATTTTATATTTGGCAATACCGCGTAGACAAGAAGCTCACAGCAATGGAAATTAATCAGGTAGCACGGACCAGAAAAGAAGGCAAGGAAAGGTTTGTCCATTGTTTTTTTTTTAAACCTCTTTTCCCTGTCCTGCATATCTTGCCATTTATGGTGATTTTATGACATTTGATTAATAATCTTAACAGGAGAAAAATACTTTCTAGGAGAAGGATGTAGAAAATCACACCACATTGATGCCAAGAACTTACATGTAGTCACCAAAAGATCAAAAACAATTTATCTAAAAAGAATTAAAATGGCTGTTTTATGAATAATTGTAAATACAATTGAAATAATTTGTTACTTGTAAATAGATCTGATTTGTAAAATGAAAGTATGCTGATGTCAGGGGTCACAATTGAAATTTAGAACTCTTATTTGAATAAGTTCTCCCAAATTGTTGTATACTTTCTCAGTGTAAACTTCAGTGCAATATTTGCTTGGTTTCTTTCAGGATTTACCATGTGGATGATAGTCCTTCTGGAGCAGGTGATGGAGCTCTTGACTATGCTAAGGTCCTACAAGTAAGTTCCCCTTTTAAAAAGTAGCTGAATTTCAGGTGCCAAGTTTGTTGATGGGTTACTATTTCCATCTTAAAGATGAAGTCACCTTTTTTATTTAAAGAGACCTGTTTTGTAACTCAACAACATTTCTTAATGTTATTTCACCTATCCTGGTGGTTTTCTTTGCATCTTGTTCTAGAGAAATAAGTTAAATAACACTATTATTATTTTCAGGGAACAAGGGATACTATTTGTGCAATAACTGCCTCGGATAAGACACTGATTATTGTAAGTAATAGAGAAGTAATTTTGCTTTATTTTACAATATTTGTTCTTTGCTTTTCAAATATAACTGTTCTTAAAGCAGTTGAGAAGAGTAAAATTAGTTTAAAAGTAAATAGTGTATCTGGTCATGATGGATTTAAATTTATATATTCACTATTAGCAAACAGAACTGTATTTGGAATAGAGAAAAATTATAAAAGCAGGCATGATATTTTTCCGATTAAAATCGGAATTCCCGGGCGAGCGGCGGGCGGGGCGGGCGGGTGAGCAGCGGGCGGGCGAGCGGCGCGCGGGCGGCGGGCGATTTCTTGGCGCGCGGTGGGGGGTCTCTTTTGGCCGGCCCCGATTTTTTTTTCAGAGGGGAATATCATGCCTGTAAAGGTAATCTGCAACAACACACACAGAGTATAATGCATCCGGCCCGCAGGCCGCCAGTTTGATACCCCTGTTCTAATTTATTTATTTGAAAATTGAAGGCCAAGTGTTTCAGCCTAACCCCAGCAAAGATTACAACATCTTACATAAAAGCACAATGCAACCACATACATGAAGAATTTTACACATTAAATATTTTTCTGGATGATAATTACAATAACAGTTAAAAAATGCAGAATTAGAGTTATGCATCATTTGTGTATAGATAAATTGACAGACAAAGCTTAGGAGTGAAACACAGTGACCCACTACAGGGAGAAAATCTGCACAAGTATTTTGCATTTTGTCGTTTAAGAATCTGGCTTATACCAAATGTAATGACAATATTTTCTTAATTATGACTAAAAAAGGCTCTATAATCATGTGTTTTGAAGAGAGGAATGGTAGATACGCAGGCAAAAGATCTCCCATGTCAGTTTGTTAGACTAACATATACATGTGGGAATGCACCAATTATTCATTTAGTCAATTATTAATTTAATCAGAATATTAATACAGAAGCATTTCCAAAGTGCAGCAAAGGTTTATTAAATGACATGATACACTACTTGCCTTACTAAGAACCTCTAATGAGGAACCATTTTGCTTCATAGTGCCTCACAATTTATTTTTGCCTAGGGAAGAGAATCTGGCACCATTCAGAGTTACAGGCTGCCCAATGTTGGTTTAATTCGAAAATATAACCTAAACTGTCGGCCCTACCAAATGTCTTTGAATTGCAAGTCTAGGTAAGAAAAGAAGGGTTTATTTATTAAGGTGATTCTCAATTTTTTAGTTAAAGTGCATATAAATTAGTTAAATGGGTCTTGAAGAATTATAGTTAATGTACTATATTGAAAACAAGATTTTAAAATGGGTAAAGAACAATTATGATGGGAATGTTAAATTGTGTTTAAACAAATATTCCTATTCTCTAAATTTGTATTACAGAGCAAACTTCAATTTAAAATTCTTTTTGTTTTTGGTGAAGAGACATCCAGAGAAAATGTTTGTTTTTAATTTAATGCTGAAATATTAATCAAAGTATTTTTCCCCTCTGCCTTTGTTATGTTTGTAGTCGTCTAGCTATCATAGACATGTTAGGATTGCTGACTTTCTTTGACTTGGATGCACGAGTAACAGATGGTTCAGGATGCCAAGGAGTCGGTGAACAACTCAAATTGGAACGCAGAGATGTCTGGGATATGAAATGGGCCACAGATAATCCAGATTTGTTTGCCATGATGGAGAAAACAAGGATGTATGTGTTTAGAAACCTGGATCCTGAGGTAGAATAACTAATAATAATGAAAAAATATTAATTTCATTATGATCATTATCATCACCGCCTTTCAGAAAGAAAACAAGTGAAAGTCATTTAAGTGGGCTAAAAGTTCCATGAATAATCAAGGAGTTGTTCCTCTTGATTTTTGCCACTATCACCATTTGCCCCTCCATCTGACCATTTATAAAGTGATAAATGAATTAAATATTCATTTCTTACCATGTGGTAAGAAATAATTAACTTGTCTTCACATCTTTTGGCTATCTCAATTGAATATCTTCCGATTTTCTGGATTATATTTTGAAGTCATCTTTGATTACCCTTCGAAACAGTTACAGTCATATCTGTTTTAATTGATACTTTTTATTCTGATAGTTTTTCCTTATTCACTGATTTAAAAGTTTCAAATATTTGTGGAGGGGGATATGGTGTTCAACCCCTTGAGCATTCTAATTGCAGGTGTAGAAACTATAATAGCATGGGTAAAATTCTTTTAAGCAGGATTCACTTTGTGTAGCACTTCCAAAATGCGTTTAAGTTTTCCTTTTACCATTAATTAACTTTATATATTCCAAGGAACCAATTCAAACTTCTGGATATATTTGCAACTTTGAAGATTTAGAAATCAAATCTGTCTTATTGGATGAAATATTAAAGGTAAGTAAAAAATTATGTTAATTGAAGAAAATGCCACATGCAAAAAATAATAATAGCTTGATTGGAAATGAGTGAGATATTTTTTTCTATTTAAATAGAATCCTGAACACCCTAATAAGGACTGCATAATACATTTTGATATTAGATCATTACGAGATGCTCAGGCAATTGTTAAAGAAGCAGGGATTGCAGAATCTTCCCAGTTCATTGAAGAAAATTCACATCCAAGACTTTGGTAAAAATCTATTTCCATTTATATGTATTGTCAGTATAATGATTCAAAATGGTAGTTTGTAGTAGTTCCTAGATTAAACATTACTGACAGAAAATATTGTACGTAGAGAAATAATGGAAAAAAATTCAGGGCTATTTATTCCTCCTCAACCATGGATCGTTATTCTATTATGACTATCCATTATTATGGTCAGGCAGAGTTTTTTCCCCAGTAATTTAAATTATCCTACTTAAAAAGAAACAGAATAAACAAAAGAAAGGGTACAACGTGCAGAGGTGAAAATTGGGACTAGAAAATTTCTGAGATTTCTTACAATTTTGATTTTGAAGGATAAATTCAATAGGACTATATATGCTTCAAAAATAAGTTTGGAAGAATTATACACGCAACACTTTTAGCTACTTATTACAGCATGCCACTCTCTTTTCAAATTTGACAGTTAGCTCTCGCATCACTTCAACCAAAAAGTTTGAAATCGTGAAGCTTCTTGTGGAATACTGTGATAGCCATCGCTAAGCAAGACGGTAGAAAAGTGCAATCACTTTGCCTATCAACAACACACCAGGCTATCCCAGTTACTGAACACCCTCATCATTAAGGGAAGCACTTTCCTGCCAGCTTCCCATAATCAAGTCAGTAGGAAAGCTGGCAGCAAGTTGCAAACCCCACACGCTGCTGGGTGAGGAAGGGAGCAAGGGGATATATGAGAAGGTCTGGGAGGTCGCATGGGGGTATGATGCAGGGGTGTGAGGGTACAGCGTGGCTTGGGGAGGGTCAGGGTGTTTGTGCAAAGGCCTCAGTACCACTTCAGTTTTCAGCCCAAGAGTCAAGAGGCTTCTGAAGCCTCTCCATAACAGAAAACTCCCTTTTTACAATTAATTCAGGGTATAGTCAAGGTGACTGGAGGGAGCTGAGCGTTTACTAGCCAGATGCCCTTCCTGATGCCTATGTGGAGTTTGTAACATATTTTTTTTTCTTGTGCCCTAGAAGAAAAACATCCTCCACTACCTAGGATTGAATTCAGTCTTCTGATCGGGAGGCTGGGAATCTTCATCAGTAGGCCACCATGCCAGTCGCTTCTGAAGCCTCTCCATCTGGCTGTAATGTAATGCCTGATGCCAAAATCCACTTGGATTTCAGCACAGAGCTTTTTCAGCTTGTGCTTAAAGACAGGAGGGATCCTTTTAGAAAGTGACAATCGTTTGTGATCTTCCCTGTCAGCTTTCCTATTGACTTACTGGGGAAGCTAGCAGAGAAGATGATCACTTGAACACAGGGCATTTACCAACTGGTTGTAAGTGTGAATGCATTGCCAAGTGCTCAGATCTTCATCACATGATGTATTGTAATGGCCATAAGTTGGGGACTGGTTCATAAATCTTTTTGTTCAGCACCATCATAACTTTGAACAGTCGCTGAACAAAAGTTCATAAATCGAAGACTACCTGTATTCTAAATAAAGATGATGTCTATGTAGATATAAAATATGTGTTCTTTATACAGGCGTCTATTGGCTGAAACAGCTCTCCAGAAACTTGAT